GTAATCACTGTTATTTATTGAACTAGTTAACAGATATTAGCTTGTGGAGCATATATACAGAGTGTAGCTCTGTTGAATCATGCTACAATTTAACACAAACTATTAAATATTACTTTGTCCTATGATTAATATTTAGACCTACAGAGTGTAAAATAATATTATAAATGTCTGATTAATATTTAGACCTACAGAGTGTAAAATAATATTATAAATGTGAGTATTTTTAGGTTTCTGTTAGAGGAACCTGACCTGTTGAGAAGATGGTTAGCTAATAGAGACAAGTTTCATCCTATAACCAGAGAACATTTTCTAACTGTTGACTGGTAAATATAAATATTCTTATTTTTTATGACAGTAAGAAGAAATAATAAATATACTTTATTACTAGCTGAAGTCATCATTTTTCAACTAGCTAAAGTCTAAATTACAGGCTGACTTCAGGTCTGGTTTCGATCATTGTTACTTATAAAATATGTATTTTTCTGGTATAAATCTGCTGTTTTACATGATTGTTGAATGAAATTAACATCATTATTAATTTATTGTAAAAACATGACAGTTAATAATAAAGTGGGCAGGGTGTGCATTACCTTGTTTGGATTTAAAGAGACAGCCTCAAAATGAGTTTGTCTGATCCACAGCCCCAGAAAAGGGGTGAAAGAGGAGCAATTCAGACCCAAACATTACAGTTCCACTTTGTATAAACCCCAAAAGAAGGATTTAAATGTGATTTAAAAGCACGATATGTCTCCTTTTTAAATCTGAATCAAAGTTCCTGACAACTAACTGAGCCGTGTCTTCAGGCGTGTGTGACCAGAGTTTTGGGATTCACGTTGCTGAGTTGGCGTGCTTCCCTGTGGCGGTGCTGGCGGCGGCGAAGGAGAAGGCAGAAGAGCTGGAGGAGTTCCAGGAACCTGCAGGAGATCATCTGAAGCTGGGGGAAGAACCGGAGGCCAAGAGACGGCGTTCAGACAAACAAGTAGGGCTTTGTTTTAACAAACCTTACTGTGATAATGACCTCTTATTGTTTTCAGGGTTCCTACAGTTTAAGGCAAGTTAAATTTAAGACCTTTTAAGACTTTTTAATGCCAAGTGAAATTAAATTTAAGACTAATTTCATAATAAACACAAATGAAAAAAAAACCTAGAAGAAACTCATAAACCGAGGTATTTTTTGTTAAAATATTTCTGATAGACCAATTGTTTTTATCCATATCTGACTATAGCAGAAACATTCTTAGCAGTCAGTTTTAAACTTAATTTAATTTCTGGAGATCCTCTAGTCTAACGACCCAAAATTTGGAGTTTTAGGACCCACAGTGGGTCCTCAACCCCAATCTGCTGTAAATGAAACCTTAAAGTGCCCGTGACATCAATTTTTTGTAAGAAAAGTTAACGCATTTTTAGAAAGACAACATTATTAACATATTACAAAACAAATTTCACATCGCTCAGATGGACGGTTGTTGAGATATTTGCATGAGAAATAACAGGAAGTGATGTCAAAGGGGAATGTCTGCATGTGAATATTTGAAAAAATACTTTTACCATTTGTTTTAATATTTGAAATGAATTACAATCATCCTATGTCCAATCTGTTAACATTTTTAAGACTTCTGAAATATTGATTTAAGACATTTTAAGGCTAATTAAGGCCTTTATTTTTGGATTGATGATTTCAATGACTTTTAAGACTTTAAGGATCTGCAGGAATCCTGGTTTTGATGAAGTGGTTGAAATCACAAACCTTGAGGCATATTTCAAGTAAATTGTTTTAAAGATGTTTTTTTTTTTTTTTTTTTTAGGTAGGAGAAACCCTGATCCAGGACTTCCTGCAGAAGGTGAAGTCTCTTCCTGTTGCCACCATGACTGACGAGGAGGTGAAGGAGGCGCTTAGGAGAATGAAGCAGGAGCTGGCTACTAAAAATAACACATACATCAGTGAGATCCTCGCTCGCTGCCTTCCTGTAAAAACCTAATTTTAACACTTTCATTGTGTTCTGAGCTTCTAAACTTCAGCTGCTGTGTGAAACGTACCCAGAGCTCGTTAGCTGTGTAGTTTTTCAATAAAGAGTTGGTTTTTAATGAGACTCTGGGGTTGACGAGTCTAAACACACCAGGACTTTCTCGGCTTTTAAAACGCCACTTTGTTCTCATCCGCACATCACTGTGTCAAAACAAGCACGTCTTTTATCTGACCGAGATTTCCAAGAAACTCCCGCTTCATGTGGGAGCAGCCATGTTGGACTGCTCGCCACACTCATCTGCACACCGTTTACATCGATTTCTTCATGTTGGGCTTTCTGCTGTTCGGGTTGTGCTCTTGAATGTTTCCTCTGTTGGTCACATTTGATAAAATTGCAGCACGAGTTTGGTGTGTGATTTGTTGTGTAAATTGAAGATTTCCCTCTGGTGGAGAAATCTGAGCTGATGTTACAGAAGATGGTTTGTCCAGTTCATCACATTAATGAGCTATACCTGAAAAGGTGTTCAGTTTACACCTGTGAGGGCAGTACATATTTGATCCCGCTGGTGAAGGTTAAGCTAACGTTTAAAAACACACAAAAAATGTCTCCAACTCTGTCAGTTTTACAGATGCTAAGCTAAAAATTGGTGCTGCAGTTGCCTGATATTTGGCAAAATCTAAAATTTAGCATCAACTTTTGGCATCAATCTTATTAGCAAAACATTTCAAAGCACTGGGCTTTTTTTAAGTAGCCAGTGACTACATCTAACTCCACTTTTAAGACCACAGCTTATCAACCTTAGCAAAACACAAAGAGCAACTAGACAAATTGTATTTCCTGCAAAAATGCTAGTGTGAATGCCTAATGTTGAAACTTTAGCTGAAAGCTGCTGAAATTAAGCTGAAAATATTTAATGGCAGCAGTGGTAGAGTTCAATTTGAAAAGCTGAAAGAAGAAATTGCTTAACTTTGCAGATATATATATATATATACAGTGGTTTGCAAAAGTATTCATACCCCTTGAACTTTTCCATATTTTGTCACATTACAACCACAAACATAAATAT